AGGTCAAAATTGAATTCCACAGACGGGCCGCAGTTTCGACACCCGCCAGTCTCCGTGGAGACGCAGTACGGCGCCACGGAAATCTTGCAGTGCGACGTCGATGGTAACCCGACCCCGGAGATACGCTGGTACCACGAGGACTCGGAGCGACAGGTCGCCACTACGCCGAACATAAGCGTCGTGGTGAATCACGAGACGGCCGGACGTTACTTCTGCAAGGCTCACGTGCCCGGCTTCCAGGAGCTGACGGGCTACGCGAACATCTACATCCGGGCGCCGCCGAGCATCGTGTCGCAGAGGGTTCAGTACGTGCCCGACGAGGGAGTCGTAAAGGTATGCACCGACGATTTCCCCTCGACTCATCGCCGCTTCCGATATCAACGTCCCCGGTAGCATCTCTTTTTTAAGGTGGACCGCGTACGCGTACCGTGCACCGGCGAGACCTACGCCGGCTATCTGTAAACTGGAAAGTTACGGGGGCAAGGGAATCGTTCGGCTGCTCCGAGAAACGCGGTGCAGTCGAAGTTCGGTGTGCAACTCGAATCGCAAGGGAGGGCATGAGATCTTTGAGTTATAGAGGTCTCGGTTTATCGAGTTTTCGAGCGAAGGCGGTTTAACAAACGAAACTTTCACTTCGGCAGGTTGCCCCTCTTTGAATCGGGCTTGTCGAAGTTGACCTTCTGTATTCGAATTATAGAAGTTGTCCTCGCGAAATCGAGTTGCAGAGGGTAGTCTTCTTCCGAATTCTAGTCGACGAAGTGAAATCGTGCTAAACGTGTTTACACCTGAGCAATACGGAATGAAGAAGTTTTCAATTGTAAAGACCTTCGAGCTAGAAAATGTTGAGCTATCGAAATTCGGTTGTAACCCGATTCCATCGTAATTAGCACCGTTACGACAACGAAAAGTGGTTGTCGTGTAATAGACCGTCGCGATTCGAAGGTTCCCCCTGCTCGCGCAACTTTGTAGTTTTTGGACAGTCCATCGTCTCGTCAGCGCACGGTTCGCGTCCCATGGTCGAAAGGGGGCTGAACACACGGAACTCGGAGAATTCCGGTGATCGCGGGGGACATTCGTTTCCCGGTGCGGTTCCCGATGTCCCGTAAAACCCAGCCGAAAACAGCGTCGGCCCCGATTTACGCCCTCGTAACTTTACTGGCCCCGTGGGATTTTCGAGCGGACATTTATGGAAAATATGCGGAAACCGCGGCGAGACGCGTCGTCTCGAAATCCACCGTCGGTCGTGTAACAAATGGTAGAATCCGCTGGAACGCGGATATTTCGCGGATACCGCGTCCGGTTCGATGAACCATCGCGTCGCTGCACGTAGAACCACAGCGATGTCCTGTCGGGACAATCGCGTTTGCGTTTTTCCTCGCGTGCGATGTAATCCCCGACAAAATGGGCAAAAAGCGGATTTGCAGGGGAATTATTGAAATAATGGGACTGATTGCAGTCAGTCCCCGAGTGTCTTAAAACGGGCACAAGAGGACGTCCGACGCGGCAATCACATAACGGGTCTTTCTCTGTGTTTTTTGTATAATTTGAATCGATCGCACGCATGCTTATCAACGAATAGTAATCGTAAATAGCAACTGACCAGTCAGATTCGCATTGCTCAGCCTAGGCATCGAGCGGCCTCTGAGTAGCGAATCGGCGGGCAACCGGCCGCGGCGCGGCGAACAAGCGTGTCGAACCGGAGGCCTTTTTCATTCGACTGTTCCTCCTCGATTTCGCAGGTGAAGTGTACCGCGATATCTGTGCCAAAAGCGGACTCGGTGGTATGGAGCTTCGCCGGTCGCGAGCTCAATTTCTCGTCGAACAATACGCCTTTCTACGTGCAGGAGGAATACACCGCCGAGAGGGTCGTCAGCACTGTCACGCTGCTCGATCCCATATCCACGTACTTCGGGGATTACAACTGCACGGTCACGAATAGCTTCGGCACGGATTCCGTCATAATCAAGCTGACGGCACACAGTAAGTTCATATCCATTATGACTGAACTTTTCTCCCTGTTCCCGGCCCCGCCCGCCCACCGAGCTATCCCCCATCTCCGTCCTCCGCGCTCCTCCGTCCCGCTTCGGCTTTTTATCCGTCGTTTCCTCCGCATTCCGCCCGACAGCTCGTGATTCCGCGTTTTCCCGATGCGCACGTACCAGCGATACACGCGAAATTGGCAACGTACTCGGTTCGAAAAGCGCTCGAAGCGTTCGCGCCCGGGAAACGAAGGAATCCGCCGATCCGGGGACACGGTTCGCACCGAAAACGCGATCGCTCGCGCTAGATTTCGAACCGACCGCGTTTCCATTTCCCTCGCGCCACCGTTACGTATCCTTTTGACGGTGGAAATGAAAACGCAATGACGGAGTCCCCGATCTCGCGGAGCGAACGCGCGCCGCTGCTGATTTCGCAGTTTTCGGGGGGGACGCCGCCGCGGGCGTCTGATCCGGCCGATCGAGCGGCCCCGTCTCCACCACGCCCGCAATACGACGGGGAAGACGTTCCCGAAACGACCGGGCGGAATTCGAACGAGATAAAGATCGTGCCCGAAAGCTGCGAGTCCCCTTAGATTCTATTTTCTATTTTCGACCTCGCTCGATCCGCTCGGGACGCGCGGCGAGCCGGCGGACGCGTTAGCGTGGAACTCGGGGCTAAATAGATTTTGTTCCCTAATTCGGGATGCCGCTTGTCTCGCGAATGTCAACATCTCAGCTGAACAGTCCTAAAGCTCGGAACGAGAGAAGGACCGATCCTGCAATCTCTTCAATATCGCGCCGCGCGATGCCGAATTTCCGCGTTCGTTACTTTAGATAATTCAGGCACACGTTTTAGAAAGTTCCGCCGACGCGCGCGTCGCGCCGTAAATTTCGCGGGATTCAATTAACCCAGCATCCCGCCGCGCTCACGCACATTTTGCGTAAAATACCTTGTAAAATTTAGCCGGGCTCGTTAAACAGTCGGTCGCAGCCGCCGCCTCGCGAATTTCATTCCTCGCCCCCGCCCCTCCTTCCCAGCGTGCAGTCGTTTTTTGTTTTTCTCTAAAAAAGAAAAAGAAAGAAAGAGAAGTAGGTGAAAGACAAGAAGGAGAGGAGAAGGGGAGAAAGGAAAACATAAACGACGCCTGACTCGTTGAGCTAAATATCCGAGATTTTAACTAGCCGTGACGCTTAGCGTTGATTCCAGTCGATTGGCAACTGATCCTCATCATCGGCGGACTGGTCGTCTGCGTGATCCTGATTGGCGTGATCATTATACTCATTCTGCAGTGCCGCGACCGCATCAAACAGCCGCGTCCGAGGACAGCCCAAACCCAGGAGACTGATATGCGTGAGTGGAATATCATGTTCGAATGAATTATAACGCCATTAGTCACGCCGCGGTATTTTCCATTGTTTTCGCGCTCGTGACTCGTCCCACCGCCATTTTCTCGCCACGTGTAACGTTCTTCCGAGGAGACACGGCCGCTATCGGGCAACATCTACCGCCAACGAGGCGGAAAAACGTTTCGCGGATGAAAGATAGGTTATTGAATGCAAACGAGCCCGATACGGTTGCGCTTAATCCTCGGCTGGAAGGGTGGAGTCGACGCGACATGCTGTTCTTTGTTCGAAACTTTGTCGCTGCTTATACGTATCGTGCATATCAGTCCAACAGATATGGCACTTGCGAAATATCATTTGAATTATTAAATCATATCTGATCTTTCTATTGCTGCGCACGAATGCCACGGCTTCGAGCGATGCTCGAGTAAATGGAAGATTGTTATTTCATCTTAATGATCGTTGACGTGATCGAATGAATCAGACGCTACTGAATTTTTTGTTTGTTAATCTTGCTGTTCATCGTGGTTATATTTTCAATTTTTTATTTTTCATCGCAACTTCGAGCAATGCTTGTCTAAATGGAAAGCTGTTATTTTATCTGAACAACCATTTAGGCGATCAACTGAACAGAACACGATTGAATCTCTCGTTTGTCGATCTCGGTGTCCGTCGCCGTTACATTTTCGCAACGTTCTAGTCGACCAGCCTTTACAGTCACGCAACGTGGCCTCGGAAAACGCTACGCTAAGGAAGTTCCGCCGTTAAACTGGAAACTTGTACCGTTAAACCTGACTCAGCCGGTTTCTTTTTCGGTGATTCCACAGAAGAAACAGATTCAAACGCGGATCGATATCGGGAGAGTGACAGAAGCAGTAACCTCTCGGATGTCAAAGCGGATATACGAGCGGGTTCGAGTGTCAGCAACGCGGAGAGCGTGACAGCACTTGACAGCGAGGGCGAAGGAAGCACGAGAGGTGTGAACGCGTTGGCGCTGGCTGGGCCTGTTCCGAATCCTCTGGGGTATCGTTATAGCGCCGATTATACGGAGCCGTCGTTCCCGCCGAAGAATAATGTAAGTGAACATCGTTGCAACATATTTCTCATTTCGACGAACTTCGATCTCTTTATGTGTATACCTTATTCCCTGAAAACAGAGCATAAACGGTCCCAAGAGCACTAAATTGGGAATCCTCGACGTTCCCTGTTTATTTTACCCTTCCGACTAAATGTTCAATTGCAAAGATTAAACATTGTTATTATTCCACTATTTACCGTCGCCAGAAAGTTTTCGATTGTTTACCTTCTGTTTATTTTCGCAGGACGCGATTCGTGTTTACGGTAAAACGTAAATCATCTCTAGTTCAAAAATTGTATTTTTCTTACTATCTCTAATAGTAAAATCGATTATTCTATCTTCGAAGGTCTCTGTTCGGCATTATACGCCCCTAAATTCGTTGAACCCCGAAAAAATCTCGACTCCTCAACCGCACACGTGCGCACACAGAGAAAATGATCACGCTGGGTAGAAGGGTTAAAGAAAAATGCCCCTGTTTACTTTATCCGGCGAACGTGCCCGAACTATCGAGCGCATTCCGCCGGCGTTGAATAATAATTTCGGGGACGCATAGGAAAATTCACGGATCAGTACGCTACATCAATATCCAGCACACGCGGAAGTTTGTGCAGCGCGCTCGCTCACCAGTGTCGTGCCCGGGAGGGATTAATTCCTCTTCCGTGCAGTTTACATGTTCCGGTTTTCGTGTTCCATCGACGGGGAAAACGGGATAGGGAAGGCTTACGTATCGAAAAACAAGAAAAGAATCTTAACGAAAGGGGAGCGCGGCATATATCCCCTGGTATTCAATTCCCGGCGTCCCCTTCGCTGCCGAGTGTGCTGTTTAGAGCAGGGATGGGTTAGTCGGGACCACAAAACCTCTTGAAAGTTAAGAATCTTCCGAGTTTCGAGAATCGGAAACCTTGCGCTTTTCGCTGCGATTCGAAACTCTCGGAACTCGAATGAGAAAAGGCATCGAATCGACGGATGATTCGATCGATATTGATTTTCTAATGCATTCTACAGAATTGATAACTCGAGCTATGAAAACACAATCTCCCTGTTACTAAATAAAATCGATGCCCCGATTCTCGAGGGTTTCGGCGACGTCAAATTCCAGCGTTGCATCGCAAACGTTCACCGTTCTCCCTCTGGTTCTGTTACAGGACGGCAGTAACAATAACGGTTACGTGCCCTACGTAGACTACACTCGCGACTACATGCCGCCCACGACGCAGGGGGTGGGCGCGTCGCGGGAATCCCTGAGCAGGATACCGTCGGGCGGCATACTCGCCTCGAAGAAGATCGGCCTGAGTTCCGCGAACTTGGGCACCTCGAGCCCGCAGACGACGCCTGCGATCGACCCCCGTTTCTCCGCGACGTATGGGAACCCCTACCTCAGGTAAACACCCGTAGCTCGTCGACGCTACGCGACGCGACGCGACGCGCGAGTATCGACGAAACCGTGCGCTCCGGTCGCACCTGCGACATCGAGCCCGCAATCTAATTGGACACGGTATAATAGAGGAACCTTTGACCGACTGTAATTGTGTTTCGACGCCGGTAATCCGGCAGAGGAACGCGCGGATTCCACCGAAGACGATTGAATTATAGTTGATCCAGGCCCTACCCCTTCCAGCTGGGCGACGGCAGCCCGTCGCCGGCCGGGGCGAGTGGAAAAACGGATTCGGCGGAACACGACGTTCCGTAGAATCGGGAACACGTCCGACGAAACGGATAACGTTTCGAACAATGGCGCTGCCCTGTCGACGGCATTATAAAATGCGGCCCGTCAACGTTACAATATTTACAGGGTATCGATCAGCGGATTCGCCTGCTCGCGAGCGATCGTTCCTACGGATTAATCGTACTCCATGTAAATTATGAATCGGTCAGCTTGAATATTTATAAACGAGCAGACCCGCGATTTTAATATTAATCGGGCCGATCCGGCGCGCACGGTTGACGCGATTTCGTGGCCGCGAGCTACGGTTAGCGATGGACCTATGAATCCTAATTGCGAAGCAGTTCGATCATTTCGGGACCGTTGGAATTCGAATGGCTTTCGATGGAATTTCGCGCCCTCTGAGTCTCGAATGCTTTCGAGCCCTGAAAGTCCTCCAAGACTTTAAGATCTCGAAGTCCTGAATTATCGAAGACTTTCATGAAGACTTGGACATGAAATGCCACTCGAAGCGATTCAAACTGTTCACATGCACCTAAACGGATTGAAGTCCCGATAATCTATCGCTACAATAGCTACCGGCCACCGCCTACCGTTGCTTTCTCCCGCCCTCGCGTCGCGTTTCGCGGTGGTTACAAATCGGTTCGCTGCCCGATCGCGATCACCGTTACATATCTGATTGTTTTCTTTTCCATTGGGACAATAGAATGTCAGCGGCGGAGCAGCTGAGACACGCGCCGCACACGGCGGTGCCGGGAGTAACGCCAGCACCACCGCCCTACACGCAAGCAATGAGAATGAATAGCTTGAATACCTTGAACGGCGCTGGGCCGCAGGTTAGTATACAGTGACAGCGAATGTATGTCGAATTCCAAGACGCGGTTGCGACATCTCGAGTGCATTCCTGCGCTCACCTGAACCAGCTCCGATAAATCTACGGGACGCGGGATAGCTGTTCCTTCGGAGCCGATCTAATCGGCTCGATCCGACCGGCCGTTCGGCGCGAGCTTCTCGTTTTGCTATCTTTTTATCAGTTCATCGAACTACTTGCCCCGAGACGGGGGAGGATAACGGGAAGTTTCATCCTGAAAGGGATTAGCCACGCATAGTATGATCGAAATCTCTAGAGTACCTTGTCTTGGTAGCCTCCCGACGTACCCATTTTCTCCTACGAGCATATTTTATTTATACAGTTTAAGAGAGTGCTTTTTTGTCCTATTGAATGGTAAGATGTCTTCGATGAATAATGTATTCGAGTTTTTTCAGAATATATTCAATATTGATCTGGTAAATGTATACGCTTATGCGAGTGCAACGAGAACATTCCTGTGTTAAAGCGCTGCTAGCGAAACGTTTTATTAGAGATAGATATCTTACGATTAGTCGAATAAATACTGGGACGTAATGGGCAAGACACTATGGTATCAGTGGCTACTTCTGAACGGAGTTACGAGTCTCGGTATGACAATTTACGAGAAGGAGAACGGGATTATTCGCGATCGCGATAGAACGTTACATTTTCCGACGCGACAGTTATTGAATCGTAGTCTCGAAGTTGCATACAATTAACCTCCGATTACAATATCATTTACCAATCCAGCGTTCGACGTTGAGATCTTTCGTTGTGTTTCGAAGAACCGGTATTTCCATAATGTTACGCGCATATAGTTAGGAATGTAAGTCTGCGATAAAATTTCAAGTTCCACGTCGCTCCACCGTAATCCATGCAAGATTCTTATTCTCGTTAGTTCCACAAAGTATCATCCGTTTCATCGGAGAGTAACTAATATTCGCAACAAGAATCTCCGAGAGCAAAGAGTCAAGTAACCGGCAATTCCAATCAGCCTGAAAAGAAAAGCCCTGGTTCCCTCGTCAATCCCTTTTTAATCCATCAACCTCCGCGGACAAAGAGAAAACTCGCTCTCCGAAAGAACGAGCCGCCAGCGGAATTACGCGTCTCTTGCGTCACTCGAATCCCATCCAACGACGAATCGTCTCGACTAATTGCACGTGGTGTCCGTCATTTCTAGGCTCCATTGTCGGCGCACTACATCACGGGCGGGCCGAACGGCGGCGTCGCGACAGTGAAACGCACCTCGGCGGTCGGGACGTTAGCGACGCATGTATGAGGCCAGGGGGTCTATCCGAACTAGAACCGTCGACGTTCGGGCCTAATTAGCACCGCCTTTGGACACCGGCGAGCCCTCGACGAGACGCAGCACGCGAGCGCGGCGTTGAGACCTCGGGTGGTGACGTTCAGCCGCCACAAGCTGGACACCGGGGATCGACGAGCCAGCACGATCGCGCCGGAAGTCGAACGACTGCTCGGCGAGCAGCCGAGGCTGCTCGGGATCGACGGCAGGAAACACGGGGTGAAAGGCCGCGCGCAGAGGATCGCCGAGAACGGCGAGACGCTGAAGTACATCGAGTCGGTGCTCCGCCAGCTGAGGAGAGCCAGCAGGGATCATCAGCAGCTCGTGGAGCAGCGTCACCGGATCGACGCCCCTCGAACGGTCTTCAAGTCGTCGACGACTCGCGCCTGCCCTTCGACCTGGATCCCGTACGACCAGGACATTCGCGAACACCGGCCGGTCACCTGGGACGTCGCGGCGCTGCGAGAAACGCGGGACGAGCCGCGCGAGATGGCGGAGTTCGCCAAGCTGCTGGCGAAGAGGAAGACGTACGGGCCGGGCTTCGACCCTTATCGGACGTCTCAGACCTGAGTTGCCAGACCGAATCTGGGGAATGATTTGCTACGTCGCGCGAGCGGCGCTCGTCCGGTACCCTGAGTAGCGTGACGTCGCGTTGGGAGCTGACACGCGACCGATAAGTGTTAACATCCTCGAGACCATACCGGAGGCGGCCAGCAGCGAGCCGACGCGGACGCGTTCCCGGTCACGATGGAATCGACGCCGCGATTATTCAATGAAACGACCCGCCACCACGAGCTCGCCTCGTAAAAGGGCGGCTGCCGCGAGCCTCGCGCAAAAACGAGAAACACCGGTCGCACCTGCCGACGGATAAGGGAGTCCAGCGGGAGGCTCGAGAGGCGTGCTCGGGATTCGAGGAACTGCGAACGGGAATAGCCATATCGGCGGCTTGCACCGGTCGGGTAGGAAAGGATCGGGTCGTATTCCATTTCAGAAGAACCGGGGGTTAAGAAGGTTCGGCGCGGGATTTGTCCGATTCGGTCGACTGTCGGATGCCTGGCGAAGGATCTTCGACGTCGAGGAACGGAGCGAACGCGAGGAAAAACCGCAAGAGGAATTGCCCGAGGGTTCGCGGGCTGAGCGGAAAGAGGGACGGTGGTTAGGTTCGTAAGTCGGAGGGGCTCTTCGGAACGAGGACAGACCACTCGGTATCGACAATCTTTTTAATTCGCATAATTTAGATCTCGATAAGCATTTAAACGGTTCGCTCGAACTGACGAGAACGGGGGAGAACGGAGAAACGGGGGTCGACGCGAATTCCGGGGCGAATTCGAGTCGAGTCCCGACGCGGATCGTCCTTTGGTCGCAGTAGCAGTCTGCTCGCGGGGGGACGCGTGCTTCGTTCGCGCGTGTGCTCGCGCGTGAAACAAGCTTCGTCGGGTACTTCGCTTTTTCGAATATGTGATATGTGGACGGACGTCCGGCCGGGGCGACGTCGCGGCCCCGGCGCGGTACGAGCTCGTCCCGGCTGCTACTTCGACGCCACTGTGTCGCGCTGCCTTTTTTTTTATTTCTAGGAGAAACAAAGATTATAGATCTCGCGCGGTGTTTCGCGGACAAGCGCACGAATACGAGGGCGAACGACATCCTCGATGATCGCAGTCTACTTCCGGCCTGGGGATATCCGATCGGGCGCGGACGCGCGTTTGTGAAACGCGTCGCGCGTCCGCCGGGCCGACCTTTGTAAAATAGATAGCTAAAATGATTAGGTATATATATATACATATAAATATATATATATATATTATACATATATAAATATGAATATAAATATGAACATAAATATGAACATAAATATGAACATAAATATGAATATAAATATGAATATAAATATATATATTATACACATGTTGTCAATATGAACATAGGGCCTACAGTTCGGTGGCGCTACCAGAGCAAAACTCTATTGAAATAAGCCGCCCCCGCGAGTGGGACGGCTTTCTGTAAATACTATATAATGATATTAAACAAATAACGAGGGAAAGGAAACGGAAACGTTATCGGAGAAGAACGGGAAACTTTAGACGAAATTGATCGAGTCTCACGGGTAGAGACCCGCGACTTGCGACGGAGGTTAGAAGAGTCGAGAGGTATCCGCTTGATTGCGCTCGTTGTTAAGTTATTCTGGTTTTTCTCGGGAACAGAAGAATCGGTTCGTTTCTCCGTTCGTTCGCGTTCGTGCTCCGCGAGGATTCGGCTCGAGCGATGCAGATCCTCGCGGAGGGATCGATCCCGTTGCCATCCACGGGACGGTTTCGAGTTCAACCCTTAAAAGACCAAGAGTCCATTGCACTGATTTCCTATTTATCGTTATTCAAAAGTCTTTTACCGGTCGCAAATGGGGTCGTTTAAAAAGTACAATAATATATATATATTAAATAAGCCAACAACTAATCGATTAAATAAAAGAAACAAGACAAAGATACATGGACACTCTAATTTGAACCATTTTTCATCCGCGGT